TTCCATTGATCAACTATTCACCAGTTCTGCCTAGTGGCAGGCTCTTGGCTGAAAGGTTACCTGCTGTAAAACATGTCTATTTCCTCTTTGAGAAGAGTATTAATCCTTAGCGCCATTCCCAAGGGTGTTGTGCTGCGGTCTCCTCTGTGTGATGCCATCTGTGGAAAAGATATTAGAAATGTCAATACGATTTCCATTTAGTAACATCCCTGAGGGGAAACCTATGTGAGTCCAAGAGTTACCAAGACAAGGTGGCAGAGCTAGAATCCATTAAACAGGGAGCAAGCAAACAGACATGGGCAAAGCCTCTGGTACTTGTTGACCCATTTCCTCCTCCTCCTATTATCTCCGTGTACAATTTGTACAATTTGCTTTCTGCATTGACTGCTGGTTGAAAGAATCGACCTTCATTATTAATCATTGTGCCCCACATCCATCCATCCTTCACAATCACAACTTACCTAATTTGCACTAGAAAGGGTCGTTGAGGCCACGTTGATGGATTCATTTAAGAAATGCCTTGATGCTGTGTTTAGAGTACAGTCGGGAAGGATGAGATCAAGTGAGGCAAAGTTCTTCATCCAAACCTTCGTTGTGATCTTGCTGACTATCATTGTCAATGCTCACACATGAACAATGGGCTGTTGGGTGAGATTTGCCTACAAATACAACTACAATTTTCAATAAAATCCTATGAAGACAGTTCCACGATGTGACAAAAGACTATGTCAAATCCAGGGATTATTATTATTGTACCAGTGCCTGCGGTCTTACATTTTCAGTAAAAGGGAAACTGGAGTCAGGAAGGTAGGAGAGATAACTGGTGCGAATAAAGGATGAGAGAGAGTACATTATCCGAGTGGCAAAACAGCATTTAGTTGCAATAAAACTGCTTTGCACTGAAATGTATATTGCATTGAGGTCGCACGAGTAAGATGAATTTTAGATTTTACTTCCTGCGTGTGATTGTGATGGGGTTTTGGGAGCCATTCCAACTTGAGAGATCAGTGATAGCAATCATTTCTGTTTCAATCACCCAGACCTTTCAGCTCCTAACCTTGGCACCTCCCATGTCTCAGCAGCCTCTGGAATGAGTGCCTCCCCCAAACTGACAGTGTTGCCATCCTTTGGACAGAATGATCGAATACTAGAGATACAGTTGTGCCTGTTAGAAATAGAACAGAATTAGAATCTACTATGAGGCACCAGTGAGATTTTTACACTGAGAACCCTGTCATTCTATTCTGGTGGTAAAGATTCCCGCACAAAAAATGTAGTCAATTCACTTTACAGTATATTCTGTGAAGCATTTTGTGACGTCTCGAAGACGTGATAAGGCACTATATCAAATGCAAGGATTTATTATTTTTATGTTATTATTTTTATAACTGACACTTGTTAAGAGCAGAATGTAACATGCCCCCAAAGTTCAGGGCTGTGCCCAATCGTTGGATCCCTGAAGGCTGGTTTATCTGTTGAAATATCAATGGATGAAGGGTGGGAACATCTTCCTGATTCCGTGCTGGTGATGTACAGCTTACTCGGTCTGCAATCCTCTCACAAATTCTTGCTGGGTCATGAGTTACACGACTAATGTCAGCCATGGTGGGAGCTGACTCCTGCTGAGATCCTTTGCCACCCTTAGCTAAACTGCTCCCGACTTATAATGACAAATGGTGAAGATCCTGGATAATGTTAGGAATAAAGGGGAAGAGAATCTTGCAACAGAATAGGGTCCGATATCATAAATAGAGAGCACGAGTATAGGTCAGAATCCATCGGGCAGAAACTTGCTGGAGAATACATTACTGTGCGTTTCATTATGTTCTGACCTTTTGGAAACAGCAAAAGTGTCATAATAGTCTAGGATGTGTCTATAGGAGTTCTGTAACTTAATATTTAGAGCATTCACCTCGCAAGCGAGAGGACTTGGGTTCGATTCCCGGCAAGGCGAAATGTTGGGCAAGTTTCCTTACTCCACACACCTAGCAGTAAGTAGGAACCCTGTTGTTAGTCAATTGGCAGAACGCTTTTCTGGGGGTAATAATTCCATCAAAATAAAAATAATTTGGTCAGTCAATCGACGACTGTTTGTGGGACGCTGCTGTGTGAAATTGGCTGCCACGTTTCGTCCACAAAATATACAGTCAATTCACTTTCCAGTATATTCTGTGAAGCGCTTTGAGACATCTCGAAGACGCGATAAGGCGCTATATCAAATGCAAGAATTATTATATTGCAGACTTTAAATCCGTATATACAATGTTCTGCTTGAGTAAGAAAGTATTTAAATAAATGGTATTTAAGAGACTGTGCCAGGAAACTGAAAGCAAAGAAGCTAATTTGGCAGATCAAGCTGCAGGCTACATCAAGTCTCTTGGTTGCTCTGCTGTCCTCGATTCTTTTTCCAGTCCAGATGAATTTTCCATCATTCCTATCAGATCACAGGAGATCATAACCTGCTGTGCCTCTGTCTTGCTGCAGAGTTTTTGGCCTTTGGTTCACATTAAAATTGAGCTCCCATCTGCTTGTTCTGAGGATTGAGGTGGATATTAAAAGACATGATCGTACTATTCTGAAGAAGAGCAGGATGATCTCCCCATGCCCTGACCAACATTCCTCTCTAATCTAGTTTTACCAAAAACTTTAATCCATTGCTGCTTCTTGAACATGATTGGCATTGATTAGTTGCTACATTTTCCCACATCTCTCGGTTATTCTGCTCTCCTCCATTCTTTTCCAGTCCGGATGAATTTTCCATCATTCCTATCAGATCACATGAGATCACATCCTGCCGTGCCTCTGTCTTGCCTGATCCTCCACTCACTATTCTCAAAAGCATTTAATTGTGCATGAGATGCTTTGAGATGTTTTGATTTAACCTGCTGTACAAATCGAGAACTGTTATTAGCGGTTAGACCTTATGCCATCCAGTGTGTAGGCGTTTTCAGCTAATGGTAAAATGAAGGTCAATTCCTTGGGCAGTTCTGTGGGTGTGTTACAAATCCCTGAGCTGCCCTGATAAAAAAATATCTCCAGTTTTAGAAATCAGCAGAAGACAGACCACAGTGAAACACGGTCACTTGTTTTGTAGGCAAAGGTGGCAGCCAATGTGCACTAGCAAAGAGCTCACAAACAGTAATGAGGGGAATGGCCAGTGAATCTGAAGGTGGATCCTTCCTGTTTCATAGATCTCTGGAACTCGATTGTTTGTTATATTGTGAACACTGGCTGGTTGAAAGTAGAATTGAAATGAAACATTTTTTTTATTGTGTGGTTGGAACAAGTATCAGCCACGCAAAATGCACTTTAATCTGTTCAAGTCAAGATCACTGGTATCCAATGCATTAAGCGCCTGGGTGAATATCAGCAAAAAAAATTACGTTATTGTTTTATCGATAACACATAATTTATTTTCTTCCCTGATGAAGAAATGTGTGATCCCAAATGCACGTGGAAATAGTGTAATCCAGCATTTGGCTGTATAAAGGCAGTCTATGAGTCTCAAGAAAGATTTTAAATAAATGCACAAGTTGGACTGGGGCCAGTAAAAAGAAAGACATGCTTCTCCATGGCTGTCATTGATATTCAGGGCTCACTGTGACAGCCAGGTAGGCAGCGAGCATCTGAGCAGATCTGAGTCACCAGCCCTCCCAAAAAGCTCGGAAAGGTTTAAACGACGGGGTCACATTTAATTAACAGGAATTGCAACTCTCGAATTGTCTAGGTACCCGGATGTGTCACTCCCCATCCCACCTGCCAGGTGCTGTTTTAGAGCTAACATCTGGCCATAATCTGAGGTTAGGAATGACATCGGGCTTCTGAGCAGATTTCTGCAAGGCCGACATGAGATTCAACAGGATTCAATATTTGCAAATTCTTTGAAGAATCCCCCCACTGCTTTCAGGGGATTTTTTGATTGAAAAAGAAATAGTGTTTGGGAGAGAGGTTAGAAAAGGCTGTGATTATCTTGGGTCCAGATCCTGCACATTTGATGCTTTGACGCACGTTTGATCAGTTCAGTCCATTGTGTGACGCAAAGGAACAAAATCAAGTTTGCCAAACGCTTGTATCCTCAATTTGCTATGATTTTTTTTAAAAAAGGCACCTGTATTCCTTTTATCATTATTCCCCTCTACCATTTTAATGCAATTAGGTATACAGAGTAAGTGTTAAGTTTGCATATTTTGATGTGGTTATTGCACAAGGTCAGGATCAAACGTGCATCAAAGCTTCTGCAATGACCACACCAAATATGGTATTTCTGAACTGAATTCATGATTTTATTTTGTTTCTTAGCGAGAATGGGCCTGATTTCTGAAGAGTAACGCCTGTAGTCACTGTCTACAATGTCCATCTGCTTGCAACCTCCGGGGCTGAAGTCACAGCTGCTGTTACTCCGGTTACAGCTACAAACACCATGCAGTGAGAACAGGCGGCAGCACAGGGCCATACCTCACCTATCCACAGCTCACACACAGTGTAAGCATGTGGAAGTGAAGAGGTTCAATGTGCTTTGTGGGCAAAATGTATCACCATTATACAGAGCACAGAAGATTAGTTGCTGGAAGAAAGTAGAAAGAAGAAAGGTGGGGATCTGAGACTGAGCATTTCAGGCTCGTGCTCTGATGTTTCTGCTGGCGTGGCGTATTGTACTAAAACTGGCCATTAACTCACCTTTGGTTAATGAGTGAGTGAAAGCCTCTAAAGCCGGGTGTTAATCCACTTTTAATCCTCCAATTTTGCACTATCTTGAAAAACTCTTTCAATTTATACTGATATCATCATGGAAAATCGTCACTTTCTCCATTTTCCTCCATTTAGTAACTGAGTGCTGTGTGTGTTTGACCTGTGGTTGGTTCATTGCTATCCCTTGTTGAAGTCTGTGATTTGTGGGTTGCTGCCTCTGTGTTATAGTCGGTGTATTTCTTGTGACTTGTTGCATTCTGTGATTTTGTGGGTTGTGATGTTGTTTTGAAGCATCATCTCTTTCTCCGCAGGCTGATGCTAAGATGGTGTGCGATGTGGTCAGTCGGATGGAGGACACAGAGCCATTCTCCCCGGAGCTGCTGGCAGCCATGATACGGCTTTGGACAGATTCTGGGCTTCAGGAATGTTTCGGCCGTTCCCGCGAATACCAGCTTAACGACTCTGCACAATAGTGAGTATGCACTAGGCGAGATTTCCCTCATGCCATTAAGTTCAGTGATGTTGTTCAGTACAGGGTGAAGATTCCATTTGCATACCTTGTCAGTGTCATTGCACGCAGAGGCACCAGGAGTGTTTCGCCCACTGTGTCAGCGCATCTTACTCATTTGGTTGAACATGATTTAATGAACAGCTACTGGTCCAAGACCTGAATATTCCATTCTTCCACCGACAATATCCACACTCATTACTGTAGGTTTACAGCATTGACATGTTTGAACCAGATTATTGGGCCGTGCCCTGAGCCGAAATGTTACGTGTTTCCATCTTCCTGAATACCAGCCAACTGTCTTTCCATTGCAGCTGTTTCTTAAAATCATTAATTATTTCCTGTGTTCCTGTGTAAAGAAATATTTTTCAGTGTCTGTCCTGAGGTTTCCCTTCACAATACTGAACCTCTTACCTCTTGTCCTGCTACTTTGGTGTATCTGAAAGTATATTTCGGTTTCAAATGAAATCCCTTCAAATTGTTTTATAGCAACAACAAAATTACATTCGTACAGTGCCTTTCACGTCAGGAGGATGTTCCAAGTCGCTGGACAGACAGAGTTTCGGACCCGAGCTGGGGGTCGGGATTGGGGAGGGTGGAGGGCAGGGGGGGATGCAGGGAGATCAAAAGCACAGTCAAAGAGGCAGGTCTTGAGATGGGTCTTGAAGGAGGAAAAGGAGGGGGCAAGGCGGAGGGACTGCGGGATGGATTTTCAGAGGGTGGGGGCAGAGTGGCAGAAGGTCCACCCGCCAATAGTGGGGAGAGCAAGCGGGGGGGGACGTGAAGCAGGCCAGAGCCCACCGAGCTTTCATAGTGAATCTATCTGTCTTTAGTTAAGCTGTTGTTCAGCTCATTCTGGAGCTGCTGTGAGGACTGCTATTGTAAATAATCATAATAATCCTTACATTTGATATAGTCTTTGAATTGTCTCAAAGCGCTTCACAGACTATACTGTAAAGTGAATTGACTGTGATACCATTTACAACACAAAGAGTCAATTTTCTCAGTTGTTCTATCTGTTTCCCACACTCTCCCCTTTATAATCAGAAAATGATTAAACAGTTAATGCTGCTTTCGGCCTTCCCATTAATACATTAACATTGTGCTGCGTGGCCCTAGTTTGTGGGATTTGGAATTCTGACTAATATGTATGGAGCATGTGGCCGGAGAACAGAAGACGAAAACTATTTTCATTTTAGTGTCAGTTTCATAATTAGTCTGAGCAGTTAAAACCCAGCAGTGCCCTGACCAGTGATTCAATGGGCTGCTGCTTGGAATCCATACAAAGACATTATACCAATATGCCAGGAGTGGGAATAACTCATGAATCACAAAAGGTAGAGGCATGACCGAATTTTCAGCTGCTGCTTTGCCATTCACATGATAGAAAGATCTCAAAGAGCTTTACAGAGTGAAATTAATTGAGTATGTACTGAACGTTCTATGGCAATCCAGTCTGTACCTGACTTGGATGCTTTCATGAGATACCTGGTCCAACCTGCGCTACACCTGACCTGGGAATACTTGGTAGAGTAAAATTGGTGGAGTCCCATAACATAGTGGTTAGCGTGATCGCCTCGCAAGCAAGGGGACCCGTGTTCGATTCCCAGGTGGGGCAAAACCTTAGGCAAGTTTCCTTACTCCACACGCCTCTGTTTACCTAGCAGTAATGAGGAACCCAGTTGTTAGTCGATTGGCAGATCACTTTTCCGGGTGTAATAATTCCTTGAAAAATATATATAAATAATAATTATTTGGTCACTTAATCCATGACTGTTTGTGAGACACTGGCAATTGGTTTCCACGTTTCACCCACAAAATACAGTAAATCCACTTTACGGTATATTCTGTGAAGCGCTTTGAGACGTCTCAACGACATGATAAGGCGCTATATCAAATGCAAGGATTATTATTAATATAGGAAGATCTTTACCATGGTTCACACTGGGGACTGAGCAGTTGAAGGGTTGCTGAGGAGATATGCCAAACAGTTCAACAAGATATTTTTAGATCCTTTACCTTGAAAGTGTCAGCGTTCGAGTTGATCAACTTTGTCAGTGTAGGAAAACCGCTTAGCAGTTGCTTTTCGCATTCCCAGCTCGGTATGATTAACGTGTGCGTTGCTGGGCTAAATTGAGACTAAATTGGATGATTGAACGTCGAGACCAAATTCATGGCATCAATGTGACTCGAGTGTAGTGGAGGTAAATGATAATAATGTGGTTAAGTTAAAGGGACAGTGATACGCAGCCGGTTCAAGCTTCATACTAATAGATCAGATTCCCCTAAAACATAAAAGCTGCTGAGATGGAGTCCTGGCACTGCAGATAATGCACTGGAAACACATCCTCATCTTGACTGAACAGAAGATGGCTTTTAAATTGCAAACTTTCCAAGTAATCCGACTTTCTTCCTGTCCTACTGACATTCCCTTGTGTGCAGTCATATCTCCTATATGTACAGAGAATAATGGGTGTTGAAAGTCAATAGCAAATTAGTGTCTCATTCACACTTTGGCCTCATTGGCAGATTTGTTCAGAGACTGAACAGGAAAATAAATAGAATATCAGGTAGCAAAGTGAGTTAGGAATCAGGAAACTATATGATTTCCCCTTATGGTCTGCACAGAAATCAGCTAGTGATTCATCAAATGTCAGTGATACTAGAATCTTCCAATACCAATGAAACGGTCAGGAATTCCCAAGTGGTTGTTGTTGAATGCTCCGTGAGGCTGAAGAACCTGGACTCCACTTAATGAAACGAGGTCAAGCATCGCTCCTTTGGACTCATTCCTGATTGTTTGATGGAAGGGACCTCGGGCAATTGCCTTGCACACTCTGCTCATTGTCTGTTAGTACAGTCCCACTGTATTTGTTTCCAGTAATATGGGACAGATTCCATGTATAACGGCTGTTAAGTGCAATGGCAAGATGCGTAACAAATGCTGACAAGTACACAGAAGTAATGAAAGAAGCGGCGGAAATGCATGGCGAGCTCTGAACAGATTTTCCAGCAAATGCTGTTTGCAATTCTGGCAAATTCATTTCACAAGTGAGCAGAGTGACTGAGAGAGGCGAGAATGAGAATGAGCGAAGAATGTGAGCAGAAAGGCAAGCACTACCGAGATGTATTTGCTGTTCTTTGTCCTTTTTGATATCAGGTTAAGATTTTGCACAGACTCAATGCTTCCCCGTCTCTCCACTGACAAAGAGTATAGACCAGTTCATTTGTGCTTTCATCCTCTCTCACCAAAAGCACAAGGGATTACACTAGTGAAGCACATAAAGCTCACTCTAATGGAGCATTATATTAATTCAGTTTTTCTGTGCTGTTTCAGAATTATAATTTTTAAAATGGCAATATCCTAATTGAGAGAGTTCCCTCATTGTTTAGTGTGATATTATGACCTGCAATCACAGAATAACCCATTTAATCCCCTGTGACCCTCTGATCACTGGTTACTAGATATAAATTTATTAATTTGACAATGGAAATCTTATGCAACCAGCGCCTCGGATTTAGATTTGGGCTATTTGGCTGGATTTCATTCCCCAGAAATCGTTCAGTTATTGAATTGTATCTCACTAGTATTGACACATTGAGGATATAGCAGTGTACAGTATCAGAATTTTGACCTGTGCTCTTCCAACTCTGGTCCACTGCTCCTCATCCACTATGTAACCACTCTCCGGAACTCCCTATCAAAATCCCTTTGGCCTGAAGTTTCTACCCCTGCTTTTAAAATCCTCCTAAAATAAATCTTAAAACAGTGGAGTCCTAAAGCATATTGGTTAGCATGCTCGCCTCGCAAACGAGTGGACCCGGGTTCGATTCCAGGGCAGGGTGAAATCTTAGACCATATCCTTCTGTTTACCTAACAGTAAATAGGAACCCAGTTGTTTGTTAAAATGTTTTTAAATAATTTGGTCACTCAATCCACAACTGATGTATGCATAGCACAGGTGGTAACATCATAAGTCTGATCTGTATAAATCGTACAATTGCCTAAATCTCCCAAGTCCCGTTCAAGGGTTTAGATTCTATGCAAGTTTGACAAAACAATGTTGACAAGTACACAGAAGTAAATTATATTAAATGTACAGTCCCAATTGATGCAACTTATGTGAGGTTTCCTGCAGTGCAAGTGAAATACAATGACATTTTAAAAATTAGAGGATAGGGCAATGCTGTAAAAAAAATCTTTACTCAAAAAGCTGCATGAATATGGAATGGCAGCTTCAGGAAGCAATAGACACAGAGTTCATTAGAGCATTGAAAAAGAGATGGATGTTTGGTAGGTAAAAATGTTAAGGGACGTGCAGAAAAGCTGGGGAACTTAAATTAAAGAGAATTGCTATACATTTAATAATCCTGCTCCTAAGGCAGTTGGTTAGAACTGATGGAATACCCTTACTGCAGAGTTTCTACGCATCAGCAGAACACAGAGAGTCAAAGTCCCTGACAATTTTTAGTGTTTTACTGGCGATCTGTCACTGATCTTCCTTGAAGATAGTTCCAGCCTATCTGATGAGTTTTAGAGCTGTGGACACACTCCTTTACAAACCACAACATAAATTCATCAGTTTTTCAGTATTCTTGGAAGAATACTGCAAGTCTAGCCATGTGGTTCTGACATTTCCGTACTGAAAGCTTGCGGAGTGGGGTCAGCATTCAGAGTTAAGTAGTAATTACCCATAAAGAGAAGTATTTTCAGTGTAATGCTCCCCTCCTGGAGAAACTCCACAGTCTGTGCTCTCAGACAATTACTGCTCTCAGCGGAATAACTAAATAATTTACCAATATCATCACTCAGGGCTGTTCGTTTTAGCTTTGTGCTGTCATAGTTATTGTAAGACGAGAAAGAATCTGATTAAGGTGTCAAGCGAGTTATATAGCCCAGGCTGTGATGGAGTGCCTTACCTTTGATAGTCCAGCACGATAAGCTGAAATTTCCCCAATGAACATCACCTGATTTACAGACACAGACTAAAATTCCCCATGGTTTTCAGAGGCAGAGGCATCTTAAAGCAGTTTGTATATCAGAAGACATTTTGATGGACACTGTTACAAAGAAATTTGATAAAATCCCTATTACAACCAGAGTAGAGCTACAAAATCCAACAGATACTCGATGGATTCCCAGGGGAGGAGAGATGAGTACAATGTTTCAGAATCACTAAGAGGATCCTTTCAGTGGTTTAAAGCATGTCAATCTCAGCTGCCTTTGGGATTGCAACGGGTGGGATTCAGAGAAGGGAACATGGATGACTACAGTAGGGCTCAAAAATGTGAATTTATTTTCACTGAAAATGAGATGAGGACTGAATAATGTAGATTTAAACAGCTTGCTTTGAGCTTGTACGTGCAGAATATGAGTAAAGGTTGAACAAGGCTCCGGCAAGATTTTAGGTTAAGAAAAATTATCCTTCCTGTAGAACATTGAACGTGTGCGATTAACTGAGTTTAAGAAATTATCAATCTGTGGATTAACTCCTTTCAAAAGAGCTGGATAAATGTTGGGTTAGAAATGGGAGTGAAGGTTGTAAAGCCAAACATATGAGGTTTCATATGTCTTCTGGAACGTTGCCACTGCATCTTTGAGTGAGGGAGAAAGCTTGGGAATTGAATAATCTCCTGAATAAATTGGGTAGAGTCTTCATAGAATAGATTTTTGTGGAAGGAACAGGCTTGATGGGCTGAATGTTTTTCATTCTCTGCTTCCTTGCATCGAGTCCACTGCAAAGTAAAGGGAAAGGTGGCTAGTGATGGGGAGGGATTTAAAGAAAATTAGATTCTACGTTAGTTTACAACAAATGTGTGATCAGAGAGACTTCTGTAAACATTTCTAATCTGTCCCTTGACTAGGTGAGTGGAGATGTGATAAATCTTAGCACTGGCATTTGTCATCAAATTTCATCAACCCCGGCACCAGAAAATAAAAATAGCAGCTTCCTGACAGCTTGCCTGAAGGATGGTCAGGATTTGCTGTGTGACAGCTTAAGATGTGAATGGTTTGGACCAAAGAAAAAAAAATGTCTATTCAGGAACACTGCATCTGCCCTCTGTGTTGTGCAGAGACTGACACTGATGAGCAGACTTTGGAATCATAGAATTTCTGTTTCAACTAATCTAGGAAGGGAAAGAGAGTGGTTCTGTGTAACTGACAGAAAACGTGCCAATGACATTGTGTTGCTGTGTGACTAACCCTAAATTATTGAAGCCTCAAAGTGTGACTGGCTCACAATAGTCAAATTATCACTGTTTGGACCTACATAGTGAAGCCTGTCACAGACCTTGAATCATCTGTTCTAACATGAATTCTACACAATACAATTAGGAGATTATTCCATCAAACATGTCTGGTACAATATTTCCCAAACTTTTGCCCGGTTGCTCAAAGGTGTATTGGCTAAGGTCCAGTGAAGCAATCCAACTGTAAATCATGGCTCATTTTTTGATTTGACCATTTCAAAATGGCAAAGGCTATTCCACTTGACTGACTTAACCTGCAGCCCTGGCACAGTGTAATTGACATAACCTGCAATAGTGTAGCCCTGACACAGTGTGACTGATTTAAACTTCAATAGTGCAACCCTGTTGCAGTGTGGCTGACTCTCTACGTTAGTTCAACCCAGCACAGTATTACTGACAAAACCCCTGATAATTCCTGCCTTTTTCAATTAACCATCCTGTATTTTTGCAATGAGTAATCTATTGAATCAGTGACTCCACAACTAAGTACAAATAAGAGCCACAGTTAAAGGTGAAGCACCAATTGGCACCTGCAATTCCTTATTAGATTGTCAGTAGATATATGGATCAGCGAGAATTACTTTTCTTTTACCTGTTCTGAAGTCTTGAGTCACTCCACCACAACGGGTGCACTGGTGAAAGATGCACAGAGACCAGCAAGTATGAGGTACACAAGATTTTAGGATTACTTGCTACTCACCTCCCGAAGCAGTGGAAGTGAAAACATCACTGCCACAACTAGCAAAGGCCGTTCAGAAACGGTAAGGACCAGCATTCATTTCAATATTTGATACCATTTTGAAAGCATGGTTAACAGCATAAATATTGAATGGCCCCATCTTCTCTTTGATGTAGTTTGGCATTGCTGCAGCAGTTATGTGGGTGATGAACATGTGATTTCCAAAGCATTAAGCTTAATGTGATGCACAGGTTTAGCAAATCCAAAAAGATTCTGTAGGAACAGTTGATCATATCCGGATACGTTGACATGCTCTGTAATCACATATCCCAATCTGAATCTTTCTGTAGATCATGCTAGTTATTCTTGCTTACCTGCGTCTCTCAATTTATCTTCTCGTAAGCACTTCATGAAGAGCAGTTAAATAAACACTGGTATTAATTAAGTTAAGGATCGCAGTAAAGAAACTCCTTTGGGACGGTCTGCCCCTCAAAGTCCTGTCATTGAGCCAGGCTGGCTGCCTGGCTCTCATCAGAGTACTGTAGATCCTAGTGGCTCAGGAACTGGACTACCAAGACAGCCACAGAGGGTTGGCTCAATTCTAATGATCCTTTGCCAAACATGGCACCTTGGAACCAGTTCAGCTCCAAGAAGACTCCACTTTACCTCCCCCCCTGGAGGATAGTTGGGCAGTGCAGAAAAATCAACCAAGATTCCTACTTCTTTTCATCCCATGCAGTCTTTTATTTTTATTCTCATGAGCTTCGCCTCAAGACCATTGGCTAAAAATGTAAGATTGTGCAGAAATTTGGAATATTTTTAAATTCAGACTCATTTTAGAAGAGGGTTTGGTGCAGTTCTTTAAAAGAGCAAGTTTAAAACTAAGAGTTAATTTAAACAATTTGCAAAATTCTACATGATCTTCAATTTTAAAACAGTGCTCTTAATCATGAGAAATCAAGGGTTTCAGATTGTTTGAAATTGTGGTTTATATTCTTGCCTTCTCTCTGGCAACAGGCAGGATAAATGATCCATATATAAAACCACTAAGAGCAGTGAGAGCTATAATAATAAATAATAATCCTTGCATTTGATATAGTGCTTTGCACGTCTTTGAGACGTCTCAAAGCACTTCACCGAATATACTGTAAAGTGAATTGACTGTATATTTGTGGGCGAGAGCTCTCAGCAGAGTTCAGAAACTCAGCATAATTGCATTTAAAAATGCCCAATTACTGCATGAAACAAAAATGGTTCACTAACTTTCAAGTAATGTACGTGGAGGAGATTCAATTCCAGATATAAATACCTGATGAGAATCCAGTGCTCTTCGCTCTATTATTGTCTCTTTGTGCTCCTTTGGGAAGGATCTTGCGATGTCAGTGCTTCCTAGCTGAGCTGAAATATCCTTGCCTTAAAAGGATTTTTCCATTATATCTAAATTAGTTTGTTCATCATGCTTTGTGCCTTAACAACAAAATCCACCTGTCTTTCCATCTGCAATTCCGCACTTGCTATTTGAATTTAGTATAGGTCAGTAGTGAGGTCGAGAATAGATACGGGTGAGGTCAATTCTGGAATTAAATTAATTAAATTGATCCAAAAAATGGGTATCATAAATGTGGTGTGATATCCAGAGGTTTGTGACTAGATTCTGTAACCGTGACTCCCAAGTCGCAAAAGGAGAGACTTTCCTGTAACCAGAGGATATCACGCCAACATACACACAGCACAATCTACATAGCTGAATTCCCACGATTCGGCATGTTGTACGTCTCGTAACCAGTTCAGGGAAATTCTCATCTGTGACTTGGAGCCATTATTAAGAGAGACCCATTAGTAATCACCACACATTAGAGTCCATGAAAAGTAGCACATCGTGTAGCAAGGGGAGAAAAATATCTGAAGCTCAAATGAGATGTGCTCATGTCCTGAGGTGCTTTTTCCGGTATTTGTGCCATTGGTACTGCGTTTTCCTATTGTCTGTGTGGAGATGGCTGTTCATTTAGATGTCAGAACCACTGGTCATTTGGTTTGATGTGATCTGTTAGAAAGTCTGTGCTGTTTAGTGCATTTCAGGTGCCCCTTTCTAATGACTCCTGTGTTTTTTTGCAGTTATCTAGAATGCTTAGATCGAATCGGAGGGCCTGATTATCAGCCCACAGAGCAGGATATCCTTCGAACCAGAGTGAAGACCACTGGCATCGTAGAAACCCACTTTACATTCAAAAACCTCCATTTCAGGTAAGATCATCAAAACAAACTGAATCAGACCGGAATGACTGTGCTGGAAGGCAGGAGATTCCTACCCAAGGTACACACAGATTAGTAACTGATAGGAATTAACAGCCTCCCCATAGACAGCAACTCATTCTAGTCAAACACATAGATCAATATTAGATAGGATTTAGCCATCTCCCCATGTACAGCATCCCAGGATTGGCTCTATCCCAGCCTGCTGAGTGATGCTCAAATGTATTTGAACTGGTTTCATTGCAGTAAAACAATGACCTTCCAACTCCCACCAGATGCGCACACTCATGAAGGCCACAATCACGCTGTTTGGAGCCCCATTAGTAATAGAAACGATATGAAGCTCTCAAATGGAAAAAGGGGTAATGTTGAATGGTGTGAGCATCAGCTGAAGGTGCTTCTCGTGCTTGGAAGCCCAGGTCCCTCAAGTTGATTCACAACAACATGAGAGAGTCTCTGAGCAGAGCTTTTGCAATGTACATAGGTTTCCTTGCACGAGATGCATTAATGTCCCGGGACTCGTGCCATTGGTACTGCGTTTTCCCATCGTCTGAATTCTTTTTCAACCCCATTGTAAAGGTAATGACAATGCAACTCATGCGCCTATTCCTTTATTGGATGGACAAGACTGTACTCTTCATTAGGCTTTTTCGCTTCAAGGTCGCTTCCACCAACCTTGAAGTTCACTGCTTTTCAAGACACGATCTTGAGCTTACGAGTGGCAGAGTCCTGGGCAGGAGCAGTGGGTTCCAGACGTAATTCCATGCTGTATAATCATGCATCCTCACAACATTAGTGGTAGATTGTTACATTGCCATCAACATGGATGTTAATAGCAGCTCAGTGTTGGCTCTGCCAGTAACAGTCTGCCCATCCACTTTCCCTCCCTCTCATATACTTTCAACAGAGACATAAGCATCTCCCGTGATTCTGTTGCACAGAATTACTATTTCACTATTGCTTGTAGACAGAGACTCACGTTGCATAGAGCAATACGAGGTATTGAACAGATTGGTTCTTCTTTGAGTGATTGTTCAGACGTGGCAATCTGTTTCCTCTCCCCAAGGTCTTGTTTGCATTTCAAAAGACCTACTTTACTAAGTGACTTTACAAAGCTTTATTAGCTAATTCTCCAGGAGATAGTTCCAGATACCTGCAGATTGGAGAAAGTGTGGCTCACGGGATTCGATAACAGGTGGATTGCATTAATTAGCTCTTGTTGGTGAGCCCAGAACTAAGATTAACTTTCTGAAGGGAGATATGACAGGAAATGTCACAGATTCTCGAGTTTGTCGGTCACTGAACTGAATTGAAATGGTTCCTTTCACAGGCTCTTTGATGTGGGGGGTCAACGGTCAGAGAGAAAGAAATGGATCCATTGCTTTGAAGATGTGACAGCGATTATTTTCTGCGTGGCACTGAGCGGCTATGATCAGGTGCTTCACGAGGATGAGACCACGGTGAGTACGGCTGCAGAGAGATGTCGTTGGTCAAAAGCAAGGTGTGGGTGGGTGGGTGTGGTGTGGGTGTACATGTGTGTATAGGTGTATGTGTGTGTGGGTGTGTATATTTGTGGGTGTGTGGTGGTAACATGTCCGAGGGAGTGAGCGCTCTGGTCTCTTGTCCTGCAGGTCTTGTGTGAACAAGTGTCCGGTGTTTGGCAAGGGACTGACCCACGGGTTCATTGCCATGTGTCAGCGATGGGTGCAATTGCTCACATATACACAATGAGTGCGTACATATTGGAGTGTATGTTTGTGTGCACAAATAGTGTAAAAACCTGGATGTAAGATTCAGATTAATCTATTTCAGCACTCCCGGCCCCCACGCTTTCGGAAGGCGCCCCAATGTGCACTATACGGGCACATGTTTACCGTACAGACATTTTCGTGTTAGTCTTTGGTTACATCTCGAGCGTCCTTCTGTACCCTTACTTCAGTCAGTTTTGGGTGCGCTAGTGGGCTACCCGGTGGGTGCGCCCTGAGCAGTTTGTCCTGGAGCAGCACCTGCCAGCGTCAGGCCCCATCTGGCCTTTGCTGTGGTTGAGCCGAGCTTCAGCTTCTCCCTCACTATATAGTCCCTGATCCTAGTGGCCGGGAGCCTGAGGCAGACCCTCACTGTCCCCTCGTTTTTTTCAAACTGTGAAAGACAAACAGGGTGTTGTTTCTGGATGTGGCCCTGAGACACTGACCAAAGGTGATATGTTTTGGCTCTTGTACCTGGGCACACTTTCTGTTTATTGTGCCAAGTTTGTTTCCTAAGGCACCCAGACTGACCAGCACAGTGTGTGTGGCTGGAGCACATTACCATTCCCCTCAGTATTAGTGCCGCTGTTTGCAAGAAGGAGCAAAGTCTGGTCTCTGGCAGGTTGCCTGCCTTGTTTTTCTTTTATTGTTTTAATTAATTTACATGATTGGCAATGGCAGCAGCTGGAAATGTAGTTGATGGAATCCAGAGGCTAAAGAAACAAAACCAGTGTGAAACAGGGACAGATAATTTTGCCAATGATACCAGTTCTGATTGTCTGCAACTAATATCACGCCAAGTGGACACTCAGTCACTCTGAGGATTCTGATATGTCTGATTAAATCTCTTTTAATTCAACAGGAAATGACCCCCAAGGGGCCGGGTGGTGGGAGGGGTACGGAATAGAATTACGCAATCTAAGATGTGTAAGCATTTTGTTGCAGTGTGATAAAGAGGATGATGTTGACACAAAGTATAATATCAGGCTGTTCCTTTGAATCTGTGTCGCCAGGAGCGGTGTTGTAAATTGGTAGACTATCCCTCACTGCCCTCCTCCCTCTGTGTACAAGGGATATGTGGGGCAATGTAACTAATGTTGTTCCTCCCCGTGCTGAGTATAATGTGTTTGAGAATAAAATGTTGAGAAGCGGTGCAGTGAAGTGAACAAGAGCTGGGGAGCTGGGAAGGGAATAGGGTTATACTGTAGTATTGTGGTCTTTCTGTATATTATTGTTCAATTCTACTCAGCTCTTTCACCATGGGTTTGACTAAAATAATCCAAATGGTCATTTCTGCAAGAATGCGCAAGTCGCTTGGAATAGTGAACTGTTACGCTTGATGTGTGATGTCTTGTTCAGGCCAGGGAATGTTTGCTCTGAGGTGTGGGCTGCGATCAGTGGGGAGGGTTCTTGAAGGATGTTCTAACGGCTACAACCTTAAGGTGATGGCGGCACAATGCATAAGAGTGAAACAGGTGTGCGTGTGACGGGTTGGGGAAGCTCACACGATGGTGGAATAAAATGTTGAAATATTCAGTAACTCGACCACGAACATTGTGTTTTAAGGATCTCGTCGCACCAAAGACTGACTAGGAAGTAAAATGTGATGAAATGTGCCTTTTTTTGTGTGCTTGTGTAACGTTTCAAGGCTCTCTGGCTAAATTCCACTCTGCATTGTTTATTCTGTGAAGAGCTGCCTCCTCTGGGGCCCACTGCAATGGTAATGGTGATTTTGACATTGCACCGTGGCAGTGTAACGTGTGACCATCCCATGACTCTCTGGGTGTGCTTCATCCTCCTTTTACCTGCTCTCTGTTATCACATCCATTCCTCGGGGAAGGAGGCACCCTCTAGCAACAGCCTCTCGCTACAGGCTCAGCACTCAGCACGTCACACCATTCCGCCAGCGGCTGACTGTTGCAAACAAAAGGCTAATAATGAGCCGATTTTGAGCGACCAGGCCAAATTGTCAGGTATGAATGAAGCTTCTCTTGACCAAAGAATTGAAAGCAGCAGTGTCACCTCCGGCCTGGACTTTGTCATGAGCTCTTCCCACACACTATGTACCATGCAGAAGACATGGGAGTCTGTATCCCATCACCCCCCCCACACACAAAAAAAATTCTGTCTCTGACTTTGCTTTGGCATGTGTCCTGTCCTTGCTTTTGGTAGTCCTTGTTTTTGCATTGGGCAAATATCTCTGTGAGCTGACATTGTGGTGTTCAGTAAGTTTGCAAACTTATAGGGTTTTTTTTCTGTCCCTCTGTGTTAGTCCCTTCACTTGAGCCTTTCAAAATCCATCTTCAATTCCTAGCAGTTTTTCCCCCAAAAAAATCACGACAAAGTCTGAAAGGTCAGGAAAAGGTTACCCACCGCCTGTTTTCAAGTCAGCATTAATTCAAGGACCTGCCTGTGTCATCCTTGGTTAATGCATCCAATTTAATGTTTGTCATCTACTCTAGTTGAACATTTCTGCATGGATTCTGAGCTCGGAGATAATAAAGGGCACCAAATCCTCACAAGAGTAGCTGATATATACGCATGATGATGCATGATTTATACCCTCTATAATTACTGCAATGAGCTTTTTTAAAAAACAATAAAATAAATGAAGTTTTAACCTATATGTATAATGCGTTGAAGGCATGTTGCTTTTAAAAAATGGTTAACTCTGAGTTTAACAAAATGTAACCAGGTGAAACCATGTCTTTTCGGTTTAGTTGCAGAGATTGTATGTGTTCGGGTTCGGGTTGCCTGTAGGGCTTGGGATGACGCTGGCTTCTTTGTGTTTCAGAATCGCATGCACGAGTCACTGAAGTTGTTCGACAGTATCTGTAACAACAAATGGTTTACAGACACTTCCATCATCCTCTTTCTCAACAAGAAGGATATATTTGAGGAGAAAATAAAGAAATCCCCGCTAACGATCTGCTTCCCTGAGTACACAGGTAACTAACAAGATCTTCTCCACAGCTGCCCACAGCAAGGCCAGGGCTGGGGATTATTTGAAGTATCAGAATCAATTGATTTCTTTTGAATTCGACCTTGGGAGAGATCTCTATTCGTTGGTAAAAGTACAGACTGCGATTATGAATTATGAAGAGAGATCTCTTTAGATACTCACACAGTCAGTTTACTGAAGACTGGAGAATCATTGCCCCAGTATCTGCTAATAGAACTGAATGGTTAAAGGAAAGTATCTATTTGCTGTGACAAACTATCAGAAATAGCTAGGCATTCCTTGAAATCCTATATTAGGTCCTATCAGTGGAATACTGAGCACTCATATACAACTATTGTATCTCCTATTACATAATAATAGTAACCCTTGTATTTGTTATAGCACCTTATCACATCATCGCGATGTTTCAAAGCGCTTCACAGGATATACTGTAAAGTGGATTGACTGTGTGGGAAAAATGCGGCAGCTAATTGGGCACAGCAATGTCCCACATTCAGCTGAGGAGCAAGGGAACATTTTTATTTGGGGGATTTGTTTGCCAGGACACCGGGAGAAACTCCCTTCTCTTTTCGAGTAGTGCCATGCGATCTTTAACATCAACCCAAACAGGCAGACAAAACCTCAATTTAACATGTGATCCGAAAGATGGCACCTCCGACAATGTAACCCCCCCACCCCACCCAGCACTGTATTGGAGTGTCAGCTTAGACTATGTGATTCCAAATCCCGATGTAGGGCATGAACCCACAACCTTCTGACTCAGAAGTGAGAGTGCTACCACTGCACCAGGCTGACACTCATTGAAGCAATGCTTGAACCAAAATAGGAATGAAGCACATAATGGTAAGACCACCGAAAAGGGACCTTACATATAGGTTCAAAGGCACAGGGTCCCTGCTCTGTGCTGAGTTAGCCGATAACTGGGGTAGCAATTGTAGCTACAATTGGCTTAGCTCCCCCACCTGAAAAACTCAACTAAGGTTCCTACTCCTGCTTACTATCCAGAGACCTCTTCAGCTAAGAATAAGATCAAGCTTAGCTGTGAACCCCCTCGGTTGAACAGTACGATACAGTTTATATTTATACAACCTCATTCATGTCCAGAGAACATCCCAAAGTGCATTCACAGGGCTGGCTGGGTACCTGAGCTGGAGGTGGAAGCCCAGGGGTGGCGGAGGGGAAAGATGACTAAAAGCGCAGTCAAAGAGCTACATTTTCAGACATGCCTTGAAAGAGAGAAGGGAGAGAGGGAGCAAGTCAGATGGCCCCAGGAAAGAGTTCTAGAGAGCAGGGGCAGAATGGCTGAAAGCTGGTTCGGTGTTGGTGGGTGTGTAGGGCAGGAGACATGAAGCAGGACGTTGCCTCCTGAGTGGAGGGACTTACCAAGTCAGTAGAGTTGAAGGAGGTCACAGAGGTAGGGTGGGGATTTAAAGGTGGGGACAAAGATCTTGAACTTGATCCACTGGGAGATGGAGAACCAAGGGAGCCGAGTGAGAAGATAGTGATGGGTTTTGGAGACGAGTGGGGGAGAGGACAAAGGGCACAGAAATCTGGCTATTCTGCAGTTTGAGTAGGGAGGAGCTGGGGAGACAAACAAACTGAGCATTCGAGTTGTCAATCCTGGATGTGATAAAGGCCTGGATGAGGGTCTTGACGGTCCAAGAGGAGAGGCAGTGGTAGAGACAGGCAGCCTGCAGATTCCGTGTGAAACCTCACACATGAATAATAGCCACTAAATCCCAGCACTGACTGG